TAAGCGGTATTAGCTAGCATTGTATTGTTTGGTTATATTGATTGCTCGTATACTTGGGTTTATTTCTACCCTCTGCTTTCCTTGCCTTCTTACTATTCCTTCACTAATTGTTCTTTTTCTTTCTGTCTTTTATTAGATGGGCCAGCTTTCTTCTTTCCATGTCGACTGGCTTGGAAGCTGAAGTTGCTAATTTTTACTGACTATCCTTCAACGTTTAGCAATCGCGTGAGACTCGGCCAAGCCTTGTTTCATTCCTCCCAGGTCCCGGGGGCTTTAATCTCTTCCTACGTTCCTGTTCTGACCATCCTAGTGTTTTAGCTCCAACGTGGACACCTCCCCAAACTGATCATCACTGGTGCTATTTTATATTACACTCAATGTCTATTTAGAAGCCCTAGTGGCATGGTGGTTACGCAGTGGGCTGTAATCCGCAAGGTCAGGTTCAAAACCACTAGCCATTCCTGGGGAGAAAGACAGGACTTTGTACTCCAGTAGAGTTACGCCTCGGAAATTCCCAGGGGGCAGTTGTACCCTGTCTGATAGGGTCACCATCGACTGGGGAGCTGTGAGTAAAGTCACAGTCATGGTTATTTACTCTAAAACAGTGTTCCTTTATTTACCAGCCTGTTTGCTCACCACTGCTTCTTACTACCCATCACCACGCCCTTCATGATTTAATCCCCATCCCTTTGAAACGCTTTTCAGTAGGCAATTGGCCATCCTGGAGTCCATTCCAATGCATAGCAGCTTTTCTCCCCTGCTATCAAGTCGTTCCGCTGAACTGCTCCTTAGTGGTTCTGAGAGTGTAAACCTTTACGGGAGCAGACAGCCTCAGCTCTCTGCTGCCAAGCTGCTGCTGGGTTTGAACTGCTGATCTTGTGGTTAGCAGCTCACTACTTGGCCCACTGCAGAATCAGGGCTCCTTAGCAACCTTATGCTGATAGACAATGACATTCTCTGAAACTTTGAGGATGCCTTTTTAAATTCTGATTTCTGCTGCTGCTGAAATTCTTAATCTTTGACTATTGCTCCATTTTTTTGAAATCTGCCCGAGTTGAAGAGATTCTCCTGGGTTTTGTTTGTTTGTTATCATTGAGTGTGGGCTGCTTCTTATCTCTCTGTTCAAGACACAGGCTTTCTGGATATGAAGCGGCACTGGCTTTGATCTTCTCTGGGAAACTCTTATCACTTTGAAGGACTCCTCCTTCTCAGGAGACACATGGTTGGATCTGATTATTGTGTCTTCTACGTAACAACACCAGTTTCAAGTTTTCAGTCTCTCTCTCTGTGTACACACTGGCTATTTCTTCACATTGCCATTCCAGTTTACGAATTCTGGCTGCAGCTGGTCGGTCTGCTTTTTAACCCCTTGCTCAGTTTATTTTGATGCTTATACAAAAACTAAACCAACCCACTGTCTTTGAATCCATTCTGATTCATACCGACCCTATAAGGCAGAGTAGAACTGGCCCTGTGGGTTTCTGAGATAGGAACTCTTAACAGGAGTAGAAAGCCTGGTGGCTTTGAACTCTTGATCTTATGATTGGCAGCCCACCATAGCCCGCAATCTCATCTGGGCTAAAAAGAAATCTGTGGATATATTCCATTCTCTTTTCACTTCATTTTATCCACCAATTTTTTTTTGAAGGCCCTGGTGAGACTGCACCTCACATACTTTGGGCATGTTGTCAGCGGAGACCCGTCCCTGGGGAAGGAGTCGAGGGGCAGTGAGGGAGAGGAAGGCCCTCAAGCAGCTGGATGGACGCGATGGCTGCAACAATGGGCCACACATGGGAACAATCATGAGGACTGCGCCAGACGGGGCAGGGTTTCGCTCTCTTGCGCTTAGGGTCGCTATGGGTCGGAGCCAAGCCGACGGCCTGTCAGGACAAGTGGCGTCCTTGGCCGTGCTAGCCTACAGTCGTTTTGTTTCTGCCGAGGCAGCAGGATTGTTTCGGACGTGTTCTGTGATGTTCAGTGATAATTCATCTGCAAGCTTGTGTTTCATTCCCCTGAAAACATTTGGTGTGGCCTGTGTTTGGGGAATGTCCTCAGAGTAATAGCACAAGTCTGGGGTTCGTTTTACACCAGGTTCTTGGTGAGGCAGTGCCCAGGAGGTAACGTTTGACCTCGTGTGAGTGAAAGGTACAGGCATGAATGTTCAGTCTCACAGGTGGTGGTGGTAGTGGTTGGGGACCATTAGGTTGGTTCCGACTTGATAGAGCGCCTATTCACGACAGAACGAGACACTGCCCCGTCCTGACCCAGCCTCACAATGGTCGTGTTCAAGCCCATTGTCACAGCTGGTGTGAGTCCATCTCCTTAAGGCCCTTCCTCTTCTCTGCTGCCTCTGCTTTACCAAGCACGACTTCCTTCTCCAGGGACTGGTCCCTCCTGGGAACATGTTCAAAGCACATGAGCTACAGTCGTGCCTCTGCGCTGCGGATCCTTTCTGTACTGAGGAAAAGCACTGCAACGCTAACAGCATGTGCTGTTTAATAAGCCTCTGGGGTTCTTCTTATATTTTTATTCAGTTAGATACATATTTTCTTCCTGGTAGGTGATTTCTGCGTCATTCATTGTTGCATTTCCCAAAGAACTGGCACCAGGAGGCCTGTGTTGTACACATCTTCTAGAAGTCACTTAACTGGTCTAAGGTCAGCTAGTTAGTAAACTGTTTTAAAAAGGCAGCAGCCGCAGCAGCAGCGTAGGAGATGAAGACTTGCTTCTAAGGAGCATTCCGGCTGTACTTCTGCCCAGACAGATCTGTTTGTTTTTCTGGCAGTCCGTGGTGCTTTCCAGATTCTTTGCCAACACATCCATTCTTCCGAGATCTTCCTTTTCCCATTGCCCAATTTGCACATGCACATGAGACGATTAAAATACCATGGCTTGGGTCAAGCGCACCTTACAGAGGCCAAAACGACATCTTTGTTCCCTCACACTTGAAGAGGTCTTGTGTGGCAGATCTGCCCACTGCAAGACAAGATTTGGCTTCTGCACACATTTCTTGAAGCATTTCTCTAATGCTCGCGCGAGCATGGGTTTTGGGTTCCAAATACAATAAAGTCCTCACAACTCCCCATCTTTTTTCCTCGGGTTGTCATGATGTCTATCGATCCAGTGGGGAGGACTTCTGTTTCCTTCCCATTGAGTTCCTTCGGAAGGGCTTCAAGTCCTCTTGACGGTCAGCCAGCAAGGTTGTGTCCCCTGCACATTGGAGGTTAATGAACTTTCCTCCAGCCCCGATGCCACATTCTCCTTGTAGTCCAGCCTCGCCGATGGTGTGCTGGGCATACACTTTGAAGGCATAGGGTTCAAGGCTACCGCCCTGATGCGCACTTCTCTGGAACGAAGCTGCGCAGTCTTCTCTCGTTCTAGTCAAATGGCCGCTGTGTGGTTGTGCACATGGGCCCACGGAGGTGTTCCCAAGCCCCTCTTCCCAATGTTACCCGTACTTTGTCCCAGTCCACACTGTCGAATGCCTTTGCAGAGTCAGTAAAGCACAAGGAAACACCTTTCTGGCATTGGCTGCTGTCAGCCAGGGTCCAGCAGCCAGCAGCCCCGGTAGCTCCTCCCCCCACCTGATCCTCTGAATCTGCCTGGACTTTCTGGAGACTCCCTGTCTGTGTGCCGTCTCGGCCGCTGCCGCCTTCTTTGAACCATCGTCAGCAAGTATCCCTGGGTGTGACTTCCAGGGCATGGCTACTCCCACGTTCTGTCAGGTCACCTTGGAACGGGGCAAACCTGGGTCTCCTAGTCCGCTGGCCGGGGAGCCGTGGTCCGGGCGAGCAGATGCTTCCAGAGCCGCACCAGTGGCTGCTCCTTTCCTCCTACTCCAGCGTCCTTCTAACTGTCCTTCAGCCTTGGTGGCAAGCAGTTCAGTGCTTGTTGTCAGTTGGCCGCTAACCAGAAGGTGGTTGGTTCAAACCCACCTTCGGGCTTCTACTCATAACGATTACAACCTAGAAAACCCCCCTGGGGCAAATCTGCTCTGTTCCATGGGGTCCTGCTGAGTGGAAGACGGCCTTGGCAGCACCTCCCGGCAGGAACAGGGCTGGGTGGCTGGTGGTAAGTCGCTGCTTTTAGCTTGTTTGGTGTCGTCCTCTCTCCTCAACTCTTGTCCAGGGACTTGGCACCGAGGCTGCAGTCCCCTGAGGCACCTGTCCCTGCACCATGGGCTGTTTCTCCTCTCTGCTCCTTGGCGCAGGCCTCGGCCCTCCATGAGTGAGTGTGGCTGCTTTCCCTCCGAGCTGCTGCAGTCTCTGTCTTATTTCTGGAGCCAGGAGACCCCCCTGGCACAGCCTGGCTGGCTCAGACGTCCCCTCTGGTCCAGCATTGCCAGGTGTGGTGAGCGCAGGGCTGCGTCAGAAGGGCTGGGGTCCCTCTGTACCTCTGCGCCCCCTCTGTAGAGCAGTGCTGCCTGCTTTGTGGGCCTGTCACATGGGATGGACTGAGACGAAACAGGAGGGGCACTCTGCCGGGAGCCTAGCAGGTAGTCGGAACTGGGCACACAGAAGTGGTCTGTAGATAGCTCGCATTCTAGAAACCGGGGCCGGTGTCAAGGCGGTAAATCCTGTGCTACCCGTACAAGCTCGTGAGGATGGCACAGGGCTGGGCAGTGGTGTGTTCTGTTGTCATAGGAACCGACTCGCCAGCCCCTAACAACAACAGAGAAAGATGAGTCAGGAGTTACCCGTTTGGGCTAAAATGTGTTCCACGTGCAGAGACACAGGAAAGGCTGTCCATAGGCACTCGGGTCCGCTTTGCTTGGATCGGATTCCTCAGCTTGGCAGCGGGTATCTGTCATCGTCGCGAGAATGTGATGGTCTCGGGCCACGTTTTTTTCAGGAGGCCACAGGGTGGCCGCAAAGGCAGTGGGGCCCCGCGGACAGGTGACAGGTGACATGTATGTGGTGGGAAGACATCGAGGACCGCGGCGGCCCACAGCCCCAGCCAGGCGCTCAGCCTGAGCCGGCTTTGTCTTGTCCCCATGGCAGGTGTCCTTTGTGGGCTTGGAGTTCACCCCACCCGTCACGTTTCAGCTCCGGGCTGGCTCTGGGCCCGTGCTCCTCAGTGGGCAGGAGTATTACGGTAAGTCCTGGGCTCGGAAGGGCCAAGGCCAGAGCAGGGCCTCACTCCCCAGGGAGGTTAGAGAAGACCGTCAGAGGCCGCTACATACAGGGGAAGCCACAGGCAAGGCTCCTTTTCGTCACCGTGTCTGGGCCTCAGCCACGCTGCACTTGAGGCCACGTGAGGGGCAACACATGGGGGCGCCCTTCAGAGGGTGGTTGGGGTGCCCAGTGGGTAGGGAGTGGGTCCATGGGAAGCCCTTGGGGAAACTGAGGCCAAGGCAGATGGGGCGACACAGGCCTCTGCAGCATCCCTGGGGGCACGGCGGGTAAGTGCTCCCCCACGGACCACGTGGTCAGCCGGCCGGCCTCACCCCCTGAAGCCCTGGGACACTGCCTTTCTCCCACGCCCACCCACCTCTCCCTCCCTCCCCGTGCCACGATAGACACGCCAGACCTTAGCTTGGGAGATGAGGAGGAGGAAGGAGAGGAGGAAGATAGCAGTGGTGACGAGGAGGATGATGATGACGACGAGGAGGAGGAGGAGAAAGAAACTCTGTTCTCGGACGAAGAGGAGACGCCCGTGAAACAGTCGAAGAGACCGGCACCGCAGAGGCAGATGAGTGCTGCTAAGGTGGGGCCAGCCACAGGGGCTGGGCCAGACTCCCTCAGTCAGTGGGTGGGTGGTCAGGGTACAGGCTGCTGCCCATGCGGCGTGCAGCTGAGGACCTGGGGGCCATTGGGGCGTCTGTCCTGCATGGACCCTACCCTCACCCTCACGAATGCCTGTCTTTGGTTCCTAGAGAAAAAAGCTGGAGAAGGAAGAGGAAGCCACGAGGTATCTCTCTCTCTCTCTCTGGACAAAGTGCGTTAGCTGAGGAGCGCAGGGCTAGGGAAGGAGGCCCAGGCATTGGGCTGAGGTACACAGGGTAGTGGGAAGCACCAGCCGCTCTGGGGGCAGAAAGACCAGGCTTTGGGCTCCCTTAAATAGTCACAGTCTCTGTTCCCACCGGAGAGTCCTGAGTCAGCCCTGACTCCATGGCAGTGAACCTGACAGCTGATTCACGGAAGTCCTCTCTCCACAATAGGATGAGACCTCAAACCAGCTGCCTCTGAGGAGCTTCAGACTCACAACGTGTGCTTAAGGGAGCGTGTGCTTAAGGGAGCGTGTGCTTAAGGGAGCGTGTGCTTAAGGGAGCGTGTGCTTAAGGGAGCGTGTGCTTAAGGGA